GACTTCAGTCCAAACGAAGCGGATATACTCACTGCTGGAGGATTTTAGCATGCTGAGACATAGGTAGTAGGAAGTCTGAAATAAGCATGATGGAAATGAAGTAAGATCCTACACAAATGCTATTTTGAGTGTTTCCTGAGGACTGAGTTGTCCTCAGATAATGTCTGGTGCTGCCCCACAGGGGTCAGTGGCATGGCACCAGTTTGCATGGGCAGGAAATGGGGCTGTGCCCTTTCCAGTCCCACAGGCCGGATGTCTCCTCAGCTTTTACATTGTACACGTTTATCTTATGATGTTCAATTCCTCTGACTCAGTCTCTTAGCTTCTAGTAGAAAATCTGTCCTGGGGAGGAAACCCAATGAGGAGTGAGAGGCAGCTGGCCATGGACGTGCCTTCAGTGTCACAGGCTACCCAGGCAATCCCAGATGGGTGGCTTGGTTCACCGGCATACCCCTTCCCCTTAGGCAAGAGCAGTAAGGCCATTGTTGCATGTTTTGGTGAAGAAGTAGGATAACATGGTGTACAGCTAGGCACAGACTTATGAAAGTACTCAAGCACAATCAGGTATCTCAGAACTTATGTGGGAACTGTCGCCTTGGATTTAAGGGCTGAATGTCCACCTCAATCCTTCTGCAAAAGCTTGACTTTCCCCAAAGAGCAGGGGCAGGTGGGGGCTGCATATGCCTAGAAGTGCCAATCAGCTCTGGCTGACCTGCCTGAGCACAGCCCCGCATCCAGCCCAGCGTCTCCCTCCTCCACAAGGGTCCTCTGTCAGCCAGCTCTGTGTGTCACCAGTTAATTGCAGTGGTCAGTGGAGGTGCCAGTCTGAGGTGCCTAACTCTCAACTCTCAAGTGTGATGGGAATCAGGGCACTGAAGTTTAGAGCCTGGTTCCCACCCTAGAGTCAGATCTTCAAAAGAATCCATGTCTTCCCACTCAGCATCACAGTGACATCTCACTGGGGACCTGACTGACAGTGCTGCAAGGATGGGTGGCTGTCCAGGATGCAGGGAGAGCTGCAAGGCTCCCAGCTGGAACAGAGAGGTATGAGGGCCACTGCTTATTTAGCCTACTGTCTGTCCAGGAGCATAAACGTATGCCTCACCTTTGTGTAAGTACTCAGCCTTTGGACTGACTCAGGAGAAATTAGTTCATACAGCCCTTCTTATCTTGTTGTGCAAAATAAGAGCTTTAAAGAAGTCTCAGCTTTCTTTTTAAATTCCTTATATTCTCCTTTTTGGCACTCCTCTACAATCAGTGGCAGCGATGGGCAGCAGCAGCACTGCAGCTGGTGGTTGATGGGCTTTGTTTGCCTTGCTGTGGAGAGGCAGGTGATACTTGCCAGGCGGACTCCAGGCTTTTTGTCTGAATTGGCCGTGCTCTTCCTCCACGGTGTTTACACAAACCCAGCAGCAGCTTGTACGTGCTGTCTGTCCTGGGTCTGTGCCACTCTGTTTTCAGGGACTGGAGTCTCTCAGGGGAGCTGAAGTGCTCTGTGGGGCTGGGTTTCACCAGGCAGCACCTGCCTGTGGATTTGGCCTGGGGTTCAGTCTGGCACTGCAGGGTGGGCTGCTTCTTAGGGGAGGCCACTCAAGTTCTGTAACATTGTCAGAGCCTACAAAAAAACCCTGACATTTGAGTGAGTGGGATGTCTTTGCCTTTTGTTTGAGACTATTACCCAAAGTACAGGTCTGCGATGAGAAACAGCAGTGCTGACTTTAATCTTTTCAAGCATACTGCAGAATGTGCAACCCTGTGTTTTGAGTTACTGTGCACACGTGAGCATCCCAGCACCAGAACACCAAGGCAGCCCAGCTTCTGCCTTTAGGGAGTTGAGTGCAAGATGGTTTGTTCAACTTCATGTATCACAATACAAATATTAATTAAATATTAACAAGGAATGGGTTTGATTTCTAATCCTAGAGTGGTTTGGGTTGAAGGGGACCTTTAAAGGTCTAGTCCAACCCACTTGCCATGGGCAGGGACATCTTTTACTAGATCAAGGTGGATGCTAAACTGATCTTGAACCTGACTAGTATTGTTGTGAATGCAAGCTTCTCTTGCTCAGGAAGGACTTGGCTGCCTAACAGATTCCTGAGAGGGTCTGTTTCTAGGTGCAGAATTCAAGAAGGGGAAACACCATGATATAACAAAACAAACAAACAAAAAAAAAGGCACAAAAATGAAACTCTTCATAGAGAGGTGATGGTACCATCTGTCTCTGTCATTCAGTGGCCTGGATAACATCCTGAGGTCCTTCACCAACTCTGACTGCTATGTCTATAATGGTTGAAAACTGGATGTGTAACAGGCTATTGCAGAGGGACTTGCTGACTGGAAATATTTTCACATTCAGGAACCACACTGGGAATCATTGTAGGCAGTCTGTCTGTCTGTGGGTTTCAATGTTCTCCAGCTGTGTGTCTCTCAGTCATAAACATGTTTTCTCCTCTATCCTGTTAGCGTGGCAGGGAAAGCATTAATGTGTGGGATAGGAAGGAAATATGTACTAAGCATGCGAGCAAGTGGCAAAAGTGACTTTCTTTAACAGCCACTTGCAGTGACCTTGGGCAGTGGTTATTGCCAGCATGGGTTCAAAGCATATAGACAGAGCTGACAAACCTTTGTTTGGTTTTGCTTGCTCCAGTTGTCATAAAAGATGTAGAATTTTTTAAGGAGAAAGCGGAGTTGAAGGATTTAAGATTTACAAATTGGCTCACAATACTGCTTTCTGCTTTTCTTCTGGAGAGGACAAATGGCACGTTGTGGTCTAGGTCAGCTCTGGGGGAGAGGAGGGCTGTTCCCAAGAGGTTTTCATGCCCCTGTGCAATGGAGGGCAGCTGCTGGGGCAGCTGTGCCCTGCTTACCTGTTGACTCCTGCGCTGCCACCCAAATACCACCAGGCTTGCTGTGTGCTGCCATGAGAGGCTTTGGGGTGAGTGGCTTGGCCAAAGTAGAAGTCAGAGATAACAATCAAAGACAAGCGTATTTCCATCTCCCAAAGGAAATAAAATCTCTGTGGTCAAGAACCACATGGCTGCTGTGGTGCTAGTGAGCTGGACATAGAGCCTGAGCATGTGTTTTCACATGGGAGCATCTTGCAGCACATGGGAGCAGCCAGCTGCTTCTCCTCTTTCCTCAGCTTCTTCTACATATGAGTAGACAGATTTAAAAAGAAATACCCCACACAAAACTCTTGTGAGCAATGAAGTCTTCAGGAGTTTTCAAGCCAACAAAATACACTGACTTTTTTGAAGGGTAAAAAACCAGAGTTCACCACAGACTTTTTAAAAGTGTAATGCTCTGTTCCACTCAGGAAAAGCACAACCAGTAAAACTACCAAACAGATGTCTACAAAGCCATGTTCATCTGTGAGCACAAATAAGGGAGCCTCACCTGGCCAGCACAAGAGTTGTACCTGTAGAGCAGTCATCCCTGTGAGCAGCAGCTGGGATTTCCTTGGTGGTGCTTGTTTTCAAACACAGAAAGAGGGTGAGCACAAACAGTAACCGGGAGAGGTGCGGAAGCTCAGAATGCCAGTTTTGGTTTTCTGGGGGAGACAAGGAGTTCCCTGAATCATGCAGAATAAAGACATAGCTCTGCTGCAGCAGCTTGTTTTGGAGGACCTTGTGTCACAGCTCCACAGAAAAAGTAACGGGGCATGGGACAGTGATGGACAGACCACGCGATCTGGGAGAGGGTTTGAGCTCGGTGTGGTGCAGGACATGCGCCCACGATACCTGTGACCAAACAGCTGTATGCAATGGCTTGGGGACAGCCATGAGGGATTGTTGCTCCAGAGCGTCCTGTGGTTGGTCCAGAGCTTGTGCTCTGTGGTGCGTGTAATCCTCCTGATATGTCTGGGATTTGCCTGTGGCACTCCTGCTCCTGGCGGGTTTGTTTTCCATGTTCAAGCTGTGCAAGCATTGGGTGTTTGAGTTAAAAAGCCTTGCAAGGTGGAGGACAGGGGTGAGCGCACTCCTACAACAAATGGAGGAGCTGCAAGTTAAAGAGAAGTTTAATTGGTGTTTACTAGTTTGCTCTGATAGATGAGAGAATAAGCAATGTCCCAGGTCTGATTTGTTGGTTTGGTTTTTTTTTCCTGCTTGTTCAGGTGTAAATTAGCAGCAACATTGTTGAATTAGATGTGACAAGAGCACCACACATGGGAGGTGACTCCAGCAAAGCCACTCTCCTGGAGCTTGTCATTTGTCCCTTCTGCACTGAGCCCTGGGGCAACTTGTGCTGCTGCTATGTTTGTATTTGCTTGTGCAGGAGGTTGTGGATAAATGAGGTTGCTCAGAAATTAAGGATTTTACAAGGACAGGTGATCTCCTGCCTCTGGGTCCATCTGCATCAGCTGGGATGAGTGAAGGAAATTTGACTTTATTCTTTATTCCTGCTATTTGAATGAGAAGTTCAGGGATCATGCTGTTTATCTGCTGTGATGTGGCATCTTTTCCCAAATCAATGTCTGTATCTGCTGTACACACTCAAAAATAGCCTTCTGAAGAGCCTGTGTTTATTTTGCTCATTCCTAGACCTAAACTTGCAAGAAAAGGCTGAAGTTTTAGCCACCCAAGGCAGGTTGGTTCATCTGCCTCCTGCCATATGCACACATGTAACAGGGCCTGAAAAGAGACTGTAAAACCCTACTTGTGCAGCTGGCGTGCATCTTTGTTACCAGGGCCACCAGGTACCCCATCTGATAGCTGTCCCACCAAGCAGAGCAAGGACCTCCAAACTGCTCCTGAAGTTTCCTTCTGTTTGCATCCAAGGTGACAAACCCCATCAGGGCTGTGCTACAGGGCCCCAGGTTGAAGGGACACACCACTCATCGTGCTAGGCTGTCAGTGTGCACAGCTCACCTGCAGCCATGGGGGACAGCACAGGGCCCACATGGAAACCACCAGCAGTGGCCAAGGACCAGGGGGTGAGGTCCCCCCTGCAGGCTCCCTTGCTTCAGCTTGCCCCTAATGCCCTGCTTTGTGTTTTCCCAGGCCACCACTGGCCCACACCTGATGAGCCCACCTCCCCGAAGAAGGTGAAGAGCAGCCCCAAGCACCATGACTTGGAGAGCTGGTTCTCACCCCCTTCCCCCGAGTGGGCCGCCGTGAGGGTCATCCCCGAAGAGGAGATGGCTGAGCACAACCTTCTTGCTATCCGAGTCATGGTCACCAGTGATGCAAGCAGGTACTTTAAAATATAAGTAAGCCTATAAAAACACATAAGAGCAGCTTGGTTTTCTCTGGAGCGTGAGGGAAAATATAACAAAATATAGTACTCAGTGTATGTACAACTGGGGAAAAAAACCCGACAAACTGCTCAGAATAACAATTGTTCTTTACTGCAGCCATAAATCCTCCAGACGTATGACTCACTTAGCAGGAAATCTTCAAATATTCACATCCCACACAGGGGCCTGAATCCAAGAGAAAAACATTGCCCTGATCAGCCCAGGTTTTGCTCTTTGTGTACCAAAAAAAATGTTGGTTCAGAGATTAGGGCAGTGGGTGTGTTGTGGCCAAAGGTACATCCTGTGACGTGGCCACCTCCCACCTTGGGCTTCATCCTGCGGCTCTGCACCCCAGGCCTCTCCCAGGCTGTCTGAGGGCCTGCCCACCCCTAAGAAGTCTGAAATTTGATGATCCTTGGGGAGCTGTCAGAGGAAGCCCAATTTCTGTGTACAAATTAAAATATATTGGCTTTCTGGGCAGGATTCTGTGGGAGTTCATTCTGTCTAAAGGTTAGATAGTATCTCCCAAGTAAAACAGTTTCCCTGATGAGGACTAAAAAGGAAAAAGGGGTGGGAAAGGAGGGGGGGGCAGGGGGGAAAGGCAAATCCAAAGCCAGCTGTTGCAAACAGAGCTATTGCTCTGTGCTCACTCGAGTCCTTGGCAACCTTCAAACACCTCTCCATGGTTTTGTGTAGCTTGTGGAGAGCCACACTTTCAGAAATGCAGCTTCTGCTCTTCCTTGCAGCGGTTTTAAATGGTGGTTGCACTCCTCTAAGTGGGCCTGGGTGCTCTTGCTGGGGAAGGGTGCACTGCCATGGGGCTGCTCTCCTGTGGGAGAGGAGAGTTCAGGAAAGGATTTCGTCATGGATTAAGACCCTGCAGGTCCGTGTGCCCGCTGTGCCCCCCCCCATGCGTGGGCACCGGTGCCAGGCAGCTCATCCCCCTGCTCTGGGGGCTCGGCCCCCGCCCCACACAGCCCCTGCAGTGGGGCAGGGGCAAGGACTGGCTCAGTGACACAGCGTTAGGTCCTTGGGAGTAATGACCCCCGCTCAAAAGGGGATCAGAGGAGAAGCTTCATACTATAGTGCTTCAATCCTTGCCAGCCAAGGGAAATAAACATTTTGCTTTTTAAACCAGAAATATATCAATCAATGTTAATGGCAGGTCTTTTTCTTTTGTGTGGCATTCTGCCCAGTCCCAGTGTGGCATCTCCACATCCACGCAGCATCTCAGCTATAAAAGACTTCATAGATTTATATTTTTTTTAATATGTATCATATGCCAGATACAGCTTGAAAGACACCTAAAATGTATGTATTAGTGGTGAAATCTAGCACCACTCTGATTCAGCCTACTGAAAGAGCAATGCACCTGGAGCTGTGTTCCCGCCCTTGCTGGCCCTAGCCTCCCAGGACTGCTGCTTTGATCTGGGTTTAGCAGGGGTTCAGGGCTGCTGGGTGCTACCCCTATGGCATTTATTCTGGCTTTATGCTGTCTGTAGCCTTTCCTTTTAGGTCTTCTCTCTCCTGCCTCTTGGGCTGTGCCTTGAGCTACTACAATGAATCTTTACTTTCTTACAAGGCAGTGCTATATAAACATGAAAGAGCTTTCTCCTGCCATGTCAACAGGACTACTCATGGCGTAAGCTCCTCTTTTTTAAGGTAGAGCTATTAATCATCACAATAAATCTATGAATTAGGTTAGTAGTATTGTTTGCATTAAAAATAGGCTGAGTGGGATGGTGGCACACTTATTTATGGCAGTGGAAACGTGGTCACATCAGAAAGCCTCAAAGTGCCTGTTACCTACAGTCTGGCCTTTAGAGATGAAAGAAACCCCATGATTATTGGAAAAAAAAAAAAGGAGTAGTAATCACTATAAGTGATCATTCTTTGCCCAGAGGCAAGGTCAGAGTGTGTGTGCCATTCACATGTGTTTATGTTACATATTTTTAATTACATTTAAAGAAGGGAATGCCAAAATCTGCCTCTGTGATCAGCTCAGGTGCCTCGTTTCTCTCACTGTTTAATGGGCTCCCAGTGGCTCACGAGGTTTGCTTCCTTATTTCCTACAGGTGCCTTTTGTGTGTTTGAAGGCTGTAGCTCTACTCAGTCTTCTCCGTTCTGGACACCCCTCACAATTTCATACAACTGCTTGCCTAAGCTCTGTTTGCTGCATTAGGGACTGTCCTCACCCCTCTCCTCTGGGCTCCTTCATCCTGTATTGCAGCATGCAGAAGTGGGTGCAGCAGCTTGCTGCGGTCCAAGACCCTCCCCATGGTTCTCTGAGGTGCCTGACACATGATAAGAAATGGTGCTGATGGAATAACAAAAATACCCAAGTTTTGCAATAACAAGATACCTGAGTTTTACGGAGATATCATCTGAGCTGCAGATGCCAGCATGGCATCATCTGTCACCTCAGGGGCAAAATGACTGCTTCATGATTTCCAGCATGGGTTACCCCAAACTGCTGAAGGGTAGGAGACGCTCACACACCTCAGCATTTCCTCACCCTCCTTGGCTTTATATGCTGCCACCAGTGCAGAGGTGTTTGTGCTGCAGGAGGGTGCTGTGCCTCCCCAGACACTCACCAAATGACAGGCAGTTGGCAGCTACAGCTGCTTGGAGTGGGGATCTGGTTCCAGGTTTCAGCTGGGAGATGAGGCAAGGTCCAGTAATAACCATATTGAACTGGCAAGTGAAGCCTGCCTCGTGGTTGGAGTGGGGTGCCCTGGATTCGACCTCCCGCAAGTTCCCTACGACTTGCCTCTTATTTCCAAAGATTTGAGGGGAAAAAGGTGAAAAGCGTAGTGCCCTTGTTCCATGCTTTTAGGTGCGTTACAGCGTTGCAAATGCTATTTCCCTTCCTTCATCTTGATACAGCCTTCAAGGCAGAAGGGCCTGTCCCTGCTAACTGAGCCGTGTGGTGTTTCACCCCAAGTCTCTCTCAAGGCCAGTTTGATTCCAGGTGCTGACCATCGTGGTTGTGGGTGCAAATCCAGGCAGCAGAAGCCTGATGGGAATAGGGATATCTCAGCTGCAAGCGAAATAAGGATGTCAGCTCTGGTTGTGAACATCTGTGTCTGTGCCACCCCCATGGCTGTCAGGGATTGTTTGATGATTTGAGGCTTGTTGCAGTGAAGGGGAACGGATACCTCCATGCCATGCATTTTCTGCATGTGCCACTTTCTTTCCATCTCGTCCTTTTTTCCCCATAGCTCTGAGCTGGAGTCTGATTTTAATGGCGACTCGACAAACTCTGAAGTGAGCGAAGGACAGACACCGCTGCTGGAGCCCCTCACCTGCCCGAGCCCCATCTGGAGGTGGGCATCACTTGCCTTAAGCCCTGTGGTGCCAGAGGAAAGCCCCAAAACATCCAAAGTTGCTGATGGTAAGTGATGTCCTGACCCAGGAATGCTCCAGCAGCCTCTCCTCAGGACTGAAGTCAAGGCTGGGGAGAGAGGTTTTGAAGCAGAAGCTCTTACCTGTGAGGTGGCCAAGGTTGTACTTGTTACCAGTGTCTTTTTTTAAGGGGGATTTCGGCCTTTTGGGTGCTGTATCTGAAACAGAATTTCCATGATGCAGAGTAACCTGGTGTAGTTGTTCTCCGTGCTTTTCTTGCAAGGTTGGGCTGAATGTTTTCCCACTGGAAAAAAGTTTGGACGTTATTAGCAGCCAATGCGGTGTTTGCAGTGTTGCCATAGCAAGGTGACGCTGGGAGGCACTAGAGAGCTCTGCTTCGTTCAACTCCTATTTCTAGAAATAGTTGCCTATAATTTTTGTATCCAGTGAAAGCAACAAGGAGGAAAGGATCTAGCTAGCAGGGAGTGGGGAGAGGTTTAGCAACAGTCTACCTCCAAATGGAAACTCCTTTCTGGGGCTGGAGAAGGGCAGAACTAAAAGATGTTCTAAAACCAGGCAAATTTTTGCAGAAAATAAAAGGCCATTAACATTCATTTCTTCTCATCTCCCACCACCCCCACATCCATATATGCATTTTAATTCAAAGAGAAAAGAGGGGATTTCATACAGCAATTTAAATTTGCTCTTGAATAAGGAAGTCTTTGTTTAGGGCAAAAAAAAAAGGACAGCAGCAAACCCCAGAGCATACCCAGCAGCCTGTGACCCCATGCAGTCAACTAAAGGATTTTATCCTTCTTCCTCCCCAGTTTCATGCTCTCCCCCACTTCCAGCTGCTAAGGTCAGTTCCTCCCCACCATCACCTTTGTCCCTGCCACACCAGCCGGGCTATCAAGGTGTTCATGAGCACCTCTCTTTCAGCTCTGCATCCTCACCCAGCTGCATTACAGTTGCCCCAAGTTCTTACCCCTTCAGTCTGTCGCCACACCTATCTGTCTGTCTGTCTGTCTGTCTCCCGTGCCAGCTTCGCTGAGAAAAGAGCCAGCGCTGGTTTGGGGACGAGTGGTACAGGACACCTGAGCTCTCCCCTGAGCCTCTCCCTCTCCCTCTGTCCAGCCGGCGCCGTGTACGCGCTGCCCCCTCCCGGCCCCGGACAGGGATCGGGGCACCGCGGGGAGCCTGCTTACAAAACTCACTCCCCCTCCGCCTGACGGTTTGGTTGGGTTTTGGGGTTTTTTCCCCCCTTTCTTTTTTCAGCTCTCTATTCTCACTCTCTGGCTTTTGCTGCATTAGCTGACTGTGCGTCTTTTCTATTTCTGTTCAGTATTACAGAGAGCCAACAGTTTTCACTCCACGGCGTTGAATAAGTGTCAGAATTGGAGGAGAAAACTGCAAACAAGTGAGTAAAGCCTGAGAAGGGGTTTTGTCTTCTATCTGTGCTGTCTTACATTTCCTTGTATCTTAGATGTCTTTCTCCTTCTTTACAGTTTCATATGTTTGAGTCACTAGATGAGAAAACTGAGATCTAAAATGCACCAAGTATTTATTTTCCATTTTCTTGTCCTCAGGAGATCAAATGCTCTTTCTGTGTCACTGTTCCCTACATTATCACACCCACCAGCAAGCGATGTCTGCTCTAAATCTCCAGACCAGGAATCGCACCCTTACCCCAGGGCCACGTATTCTGTCCCTAGCCCTGCCTACACCAATTGCTTTTGGTTGAGCGTAATGCTGGGTCTAACATTTTGAATGTTGCTTATTAGAAATGGTCCTGGGGGTGCCTATTTACACCCATCTGCAGGTGTTCTAGCACCTCTTTTTTTGTTGGAAAAAAAAAAAAAACAGGTGATGTTTCTGGGTTACTGAAAGAGAGAGGACCAGCAGCCATCCCAAGAGGTGAGCTGGTGGAAGCAAGAGTTACTAGTTCTTGTCCTCTGGCAGTTTCACTCTGCTCGGGCTGACCCCTCCCTGCCCCCGGGGGCCGCAGAGGAGCGCGGTGGTCTCGGTGGGCGCTGTGCTCAGTTCAGCCCCACGTGCAGTGCAGTCGCTCCTGGCGGCTGGGGCTGGGGCTCGCTGAGCTGCCTCCGGAGCCGCGCTCCCAAAGCAGAACAGCCGTCCTGCGGCACGCCTCTGCCCCCTGGGACAGCGTTGCCCACCTGCCCGGGCACAGCCCCTCTGCGAGTGCGCCCTTGCCTGCCCGTTCTCCCCTGAGGACGTTCGGGTACCTGCTGGGCTGGGTCATACCATTAGGGGAGCTGCGTGAGCTTGCCAGGGTCCCAAACCGTCTCGAAACTTGGTTAGAGTGCAGTTGTGTCTGTTAGGCTGGGGTGTGTAAAACACTAAAAGTACGGCAGCAGAAAGAAGGGATTTGTGCGTGTGACCGGGTGCCACGGTTTCTGGGCATGGAGACAGCAGGAACGGTGGTGACAGCCACTCTTTAACCCTGTCCTCTGCAACAAGGGGGATTTCTACTGCTGCTGAAAGTCCCGGTTGCCTTCAGAGACATTAAGGGCTCTGCTCCCAAAATAAGTAGGATCCCTGTGTTCATTATGGGACAAGTGTTCAAGCAAAGGCTTCTCAGCTTGCTTGGTTGGAATGCACAAGCAAGCTTCAAGATAGTTTGCAAGTACCCACTGTGGGATAAATGTTTATGTCTCAAAAGCAGAGACAAACTGCTCTCCTTCCTGGCACTGGGCTTGCCTCCGAGTCCTGTGCCTCCAGGTATGCATGAGTACTGTCACTGTTGACCTCGATGTCCCTTGGAGGCCCCTGATGCCACATTTCTGGGATCACTCGGTTAATGTCAGTAGAAGATGCACAGGGCTATTTCACGGTCCTGAGAGGATGCTCCCACCAAGCTCGACTTCAGCAAACCATGCCCTGTGATGGGCTGTCCCCAGAGAGGTAGCTGTGGCAGATGGATGGGCAGGCGGGCCGTGACGGGGCTGTATTTCTGGGGGTGCACTCACTGCACCTCTGAGGTGTGGGGACTTGCCATGCTCCGAGAGGCTTCTCTGGAGCTGCCGCACAGGATGCCCGTTCTGGAGGAAGGCTGTCCCGTGCCCGGGGTGGGGAGACAGAACACAGGACTCTAAAATAGTCTTGTTGCCATCTGTGTCAGCCTCAGGGCTGTCTCTCAGCACTGTACAGCATTTGAGGATTGGCTTATAATCAAGTATTGACTTCATCAAAGCCTGGGATTTAAAATCCTGCCTTGATTTTGAAAAACTTTGATTTTCTAAAAAATCAAACAAAAATTGTGCTTATTCCAGGTTTGAGGGGGGAAAAAAAGACTGAGAAAGAGAAGGGGGTGGGGGTGTTGCTCTTAATTTCAACTCATTTTCAGCTTGCTCTCACCAAGTGCTTAATCATTTGCCAATTAATTTTCCCATCATTTTATTAAAATCTTGTGTGTGCTCCCGAAAGGCTCTAGAGGGAGCTAAAAGCCTTTGAGAGGGAAGCAATGGGCTACATGGATTTGTCCCAACCTCAAATACGCTGTTAAAACGAGGTGTAAAGTACACTCAGTGTATGCTGGGAACAGAATAAAGACGGGTTTTACTCTCTGGAGGAACACTGTAAATCTTAGTTTCTGTATTTAATCCACTTAATATTTGGTTAAAAGAATTCATATGATCATCCGTCACGTGAAAGAAAAGTCTGTTTCCTTCTCGGACTCATTTCCCAAAACACACATGTTCCATAACAGCACGGGGCATGTGGCCAAGGAAGGGAAATCAGTGTCACAGTGGTATTGGCTGAAAGGCTCGGAGCAGGACATTACCTTTCAAAATCTTTAATCCCCATCGCACAGCCACAGGGAACACTGCACTCTTAACTGATCTTGGTCATTTGGAGTAGCTTTTTTTTTTTAATCCTAATTCTGGATTCTCATGTTTTCCCATGCTCAATTCACTTTATGGAATAGAAAGGCCCTGGGTTGCTAGTCCCTGCAGGAGTTCCTTAATGCATTCCAGTGCATTGTTTCCCTCCGTTCGTGACCGAATGTGAGAAATTGCATCCAGATTGCAAATGAATAGGTGAGACACCGAGAGGAAGGGAAAGTTGGCCTCTCTTCCTGCCTTGCCATTTCTGAAGTCCATGTGCAGGAGCACTAGTGTGTTGCTTTTGTCCTTACACAGCTTTTAATCCCTATGTAGAAAAAAACCCAAAGTTTGCTTTGGGAAGCTGTCTGAGTTTCAGAACTAATAATTTGGTTTGGAAGTTAATAATTTGACTATAAATATACTTATCCTGTTATAGCTTGATGTGGTAAAATCTGGGCTCAGGGCTAATTTTCTTCTGTCCAAAGATTGATTATTATGTAAAATTCCCACAGACACAAATATTAGAGAGCTCTCCTGACTCCCTTCTTATGCAAGTTACCTCCCTACTTTTTCTTCCAGCAGGTCTGTCTGTCTCTTCTAGTTTTGGTCAAGGCTTTTAGCAATTAGCTACCTTGCCTGATTCTAGCACGCTATACCTTTTGGCCTGGTTTGGGAGACCATACAATTATTTCTGTCCTTTCCTCACTGCCTGCAGGTAGCTGCAGGTCTGATTTCAT